GGTCATGTGTTGTGTCATGGAGTAAACAGAAACTCTTTGAAAAAGCATTTTTGAGTTTTGTATTGTTTGACAAATTGTTCTGGGTATTTCTGGCAGGAGATAATCAAGCACAAAATGTCGGGAGTACGGGTTCGAATCTCATTAGATATGTTTTGAGATGGATTTGATCGCATATTTCCGATATTGAGTTGAGGTTAATTCCGTTTTTATTCAGTTGTATATATTTCCTCATTTCGCATGTCTTCATATTTGAGAGACCTTTGTTGATTGTTGTAGTTGAAGCCACCAGTCCCGTCTTGACAAACTCCAATGGATCATAAACACAGCGAGTGGGAACTATACAGTTCTCTATCAGCTGTTTGAACCGGATCATCACCCAGAGATATAAAACATTTAAACGACCGCCATCAAGTGCAGTCATACACGTTCCACGAAAACATTCCATGATAATTGTGTTATCATTTCAAAGCTAATTTTTCTGCCATAACTTGCCTTGACAAAACATACGTGTGTTAACCTTTGCTGGGGGTCATCTCAAGTGATAGTGTTAATATCGGTGGTATTTCACCAGGGATGTTCTCATCTGTCTGTTGGAAACGCTGGCCAAATGTCAGATGACAGTTACGGGTCGACTGCTGGCAACATGGCCTACCAAGTTGGGAAATATTGTCTGCGTAATTGATGTAAGTGGTGCTATTTGTGTCCCTGTTGTCCTCTTGTAGGTAAATGTTGATTCTCTAACAATGGGGGGCGACCCACACAAGTCACGCAAAGGGTAAATGAGCGTGAATCCATGCACAGAGGAAACATGTCAATGAAAGTACATCAGATGAGATCACATCTGCAGGAGATAAACGTCAAGCAGAGGTTGCATCCAATGACAAATGATTCTGTAAATATATCGGACAAGATGAGGAAACCAGGTCAGATCTTGGAGCGATACAAGTCAAGTAGAGGTTGCAACCAATGACCACCAAATGACCTGCAAAGGATAACAGTCAACAGATTATATCAGATTTGCAGGCGATCAGATTGGTTGCATCCAGTGACCGCCTCAGATCCTGCAAATGACAAAGGTCAAGCTGAGTAGTCAAAATGAATAGATCACATAACGCAAGATCCTGCAGGCGATAAATGTCAAGCATGGGTTGCATTCAAAGACCATCACAGATCCTGCAGTAGTTTTAAAAAAGTAGACCACATGAGGTGAGATCCTGCAGGCGATAACATGTCAACCGGTGGTTGCATCCAATGACCAAAGATCCTGCAAATGACATCCGTCAAGCTGAATATATCAGACCAGATCAGATCTGAAGATGATAAACGTGCACCAAAGGTTGCATCCACTGACCACCACAGGTCTTGCTTAGGACGCTAGTCAAAATAGGTAGACCACATACGGTGAGATCCTGCAGGCGATAAACGTCGACCGGTGGTTGCATCCAATGAGCATCACAGATTCTGTAGTGGACACTAGTCCAAGTGAGTAGGATACCTGATGAAATGAGACACTGAAGACGATAAACGTCATGGAGGGCGTTGTTTCCATTGTCGAACAGAGTTCTTGCAGAGCATACACGAAAACAAATAAGGTCCCTGATGAAAACAAGTTATTTGTTTACGGCATAATTTTTAAACAAGATATTATTTCCCGGTAAAACACCTGTCAAGATACATTGGCATCACAAAAATATATTGTACACCTTAATGTAGACTAATGCTTAGTCTCTGAATAGATAAAATTTTGGTAGTAACAACCAAACCTATTATAAATTGAAAAGGAGCCCCAGGGAGACCAGAGATTCAGAACCTGGGGAAATCTAGACTTGCTTCATTTAGGGCTTTAGCACTGCAGGGAATGCTAGGCTGTTGGGAATATAATGTGGTTCAGGGACTGTGAGACAGACTAACCTTAATGCTATGTCTCAACATGTTTGGAAAAAAGTTCGTTTTTTTCCTTTCACTGGAGGAAGTAGTGACAACAATACCGTGTCTCCTTCAAACCCTCCCCTTCAACACACGCACATTAAAAAGTTAAAAAGAAAAGAAAATAGTAACTGGTGGTCTCTTGGTGTATTGCGGTTTTACATCATACATTATCAACGTTTGAGAACACGCCATTATATATTGTTTCAGATACAGGATAAAGGTTTTAATTCGAGCTTCATGGACTTATGGAATGACCCCCGAAATTAATGACAACGCCCGCAATTGACAAACCCGGAGAGTACAGGGCTGTCGGGGATGGACTTGATTAGCAGCTCAGCAACAGAAGGTCCACAGATGCTGTGAGTCAGAACACCACACGTGATGGAATGATTGCCCGGGGGGGGGGTGGGGGAGAGACCGCGTGGGTGATTATACCCATACATAGAGTGATGCAACTTAGTGTTAACAGACATGATAGTATTACTGATACCTCTGACACGGGAATATAGACCGTGGTGTCCGTGTCAACTTATAAAGGGCAAACGTGTCAATGCGTGGGATGTGTACTTAAAAACATCATGACGGAGAAGAGTTGATATGTTGGTTAGGTGCGTGAGTGAGCGAGTACGTGAATGAGTGCGTGCGTGATTGCGTGCGTGCGTGTTTGTTTGTTGCGTGGGTGTGACTTTGTGGGTAAATGTTTGTTTACTTGTGTAACGCACTCAGCAATATTCCAGCTATATGACGCCGGTCTGTAAATAATCACGTCTGGACCAGACAATCCAGTGATCAACATCATAAGCATCCATCTACGCAGTTGGGATACAATGACAAGTGTCAACCAAGTCAGGGTCAGCCTGACCACTCAGTCCCGATCGTAGCCTCTTGCGACAAGCATGGGCTGCTGAAGAGGCGTGAGTGTGGTTGAACGTTCCTGGTAACGCTATATATCAATTTGCGCTAAGTGAAAGTAGTGTACAGGTTGTATAAGGCGGCGGAAACAGACATGTAAATGAATGCCTCAAGGGATTTCAAACACAGAGATTTGTACGTCTGTAAACAATCGAGTCTGGGCCAAACGATTCAGTGATTGCCTCCATGAACATCAATCTATGCAATTGACAAGCATCAACCAAGTCAGCGAGTCTGACAACCCGATACCGTTAGTCGCCTCTTACGACATTCATGGGTTGATGAGAATCAATTCCAAACCGTATTTTTTACGTGTGTGTTTTTATGTACTTATTACTCGTATCAAAACGTTTTTCCGGGATTGGAAAGAGTCCTTCTTCCGAAAGATCGTTTATGTTCCGTGTCGGACAGGATATGGTAAGTGTCAAACGGCAGGATATGTCCGCCGTTTCACTGCGAAAGCAACATGTCGCATACTACAGTTTGGGAGACAATATCAGATGTTTCCACAGTTACAGGTCTGTATTGCATGTTACAGCCTTTAGGTTCAATCTACTTGTACAGGTGTGTACCTGTACCGTTATCATCCGTTTTCACTGTTACAGGTAACAGTTTACCTATACAGGTGTGAGCTGTTTGGAATTTTACAGATAAGTTTTGCGTATGACAGTACTTCGTTTCAGTTTACCTGTACCCTTATCACTCACTTTGTCTGTAACAGTTGGCCCCTACTTGTCTAAAGTTTACCTGTACAGTTTGTTTTGACTATACAGGTAAGTGTTGCGAGTACCAGTTACATGTATCAGCCGTTTTGATTGTTACAGGTGATCGGTGCATATAACAGTACTTGGTTTCAGTTTACCTGAACCGTTATCTTCCGCATTGACTGTTACAGGTAAGTGTTATGTATTAACATAATTGGTGAAAGTTTACCTGAATAGTTATCAGCTGTTTTGACTTTTAAGGCAAGTGTTGCGAAAAACAGCAAATATATCAGCTGTGTTGATTGTTACAAGTGATTGTTGCATATAACATTACTTGGTTTCGGTTTACCTGAACCGTTATCAGCCACTTTGTTTGTAACAGTACTTGTTTAAAGTTCACCTGTACAGTTTTCGGCTGTTTTAATTGTTACAGGTAAGTGTTGCATATAACAGTACTTGGTGTCAGTTTACCTGAACCGTTATCAGCTACTGTGTCTGTAACAGTACTTGTTTAAAGTTGACCTGTACAGTTATCGGCTGTTTTGATTGTTACAGGTAAGTTTGCATATAACAGTACTTGGTTACACCGTTATCAGCCACTTTGATTGTTATAGGTAAGTGTTACGTATAAACATAATTCGTTAAAGTTTACCTGTATAGTTATCAGCTGTTTTGTCTATACAGGTAAGTGAACCATACGGGTAAGTGTTGCAAAAACAGTAAATATATCAGCTGTTTTGATTGTTACAGGTGAGTGTTGCATATAACAGTATTTGGTTTCAGTTTACCTGTTCATGTATCAGCTGTTAGATCCCCCTCTCTACTTGACATGCCGTACCAATCATCCAGTGTGTATTCTATTGATTGTGAGCTTGGCCCAGTCGAATCGTGTTACAACCATAACATAGAACGGACTCGCGTGGTTAACTCGGCTCGGACTAATCTTTTACGTCCATTGAACATGATAATAGAACCCCTCTCCTCTATCAGGTGTCCCCATTTTTTACAACACTGTCACGTGACATGGTGTTCCTGGTCCTCTGCACGCGCTGGCGTAACGATGTCAAATGCGTGCGATTGTAACTCAAGACAAGTGCTCGTGCTGGGTCAGCGAGAAGCCAGGTACCTCGTCTTAATTGATGAATCTATCTGCGTCTGAAATCACCTTTTTGTCAATCTGTAGAGTAATTTACGAATTAAGGGGCAATAATCAGCATTTACTAACAGGAAGCTCGAACTAAATTGTGTATGGATTAATAAAAGAGCAAGTAGTTCCGGTAAGGCTCTTATTTATTAGTTCGTTTCGTGAGTTTTGTTATCTGATCACATCAAGCTTCTTCGCGTAAGGGATTATGGCGGGAAATAGTGATGGATGAAGACAGCAATTGTGGGCAAGCATCTCAGCATCCGTACTATATCACTAGCACAATCTATCCCTGCCTCTGTAGAATCAAAATGGCGGAAATTGAAGAGCTTCACAAGATGAGCGGAAGTACGTGGCCGCCCGTTACGGATTTCTCACTTCCGGTTATCGATTTGATCCTGCTGCGCATGACTGAAAGTGATTGACTTTTAGACGGATCTGTTATTGTTCCCTTGATCTGTATTCCTATCATATCAACCCCTCACCTTTATGCCTCGCGTTAATGACACCACTGTATCTCGATACGCCCAGGTAACGCACCTTTAATGCAATAAAGTGTCCATACTAAATCAGAGATATGGACACGAGATGAGGTATTCCTGACAATGACGAGGAGATATCTTTGAAGCTCCACACAGCGCTATTGTTTAACGCCCGTTCTACCCCTAATAACGTCTTATTAATACTCGACAGTTGGGGGATGAGTCTTTTGTAAGGAACGAGCAATATTTCTTTTCAAGTTCGCTCATTGTGAAATGAACGTTGCGTTAATAAAAGGTTAAATAATAAATCAGGTGGATTTTGTTTAATCGTGAAATATTGATGAATAATTATCAAAAGAAGTTTCTTATTGCCTGACAGTGATAAGGACGCATTGATTAGGAATGTTTTGGGAGAAAGGATATTTTGTATTTATCTTATTACAATGTAAGATTAATAATTGGTATTGCGCGTGTCGTTTTATTCAGGCTTTGCAGAAGGATATAGCACTCCTGTGTCCTGATAGAAATCATCACAGATGATTACAAATTACAGGCCCCAAATTATAATGTCTTACAAGTGAAACAATTCTTGTTAAACAGGTGTTCCGACAATATTCAAAATAATGTCAGTTGTTGGTACTACCAGTTTTCCGGTGCTGATATATATAAATATTCTAGTGTAAGCAGAAAAGAGATCGAACTCAAGAAGTGACACCTTTTTTCACTTCGGGCATACTTATGTCCATATTAATTACCAATTGGTTATTGTGGATACTTGTTCAGCAACAAAGCCAGTGGAAGCTAAATCACTGTTCGTGAAAACAAAAAAGTGCGAGACTTTAAGTTGTCGCCAATTTGAGTTGAATATTTAAGTAAATAACCGAGTCGTTTACTATAAAGACCAAACCTACCTTAGTACATATAGGCCCATTTCTGGTGTCCCCCGCCGTGATATTGCTGGAATATTGCTAAAAACGGCGTAAAACCATACTCAGCCAGCCAGTAGTACATATAGTTTAAAACGGGTAAAACAAATCTTCTACAATTTACTGCAGCACTCAGATTTTTTCAAGTACCAAACATACAATGGCAAACCTACAAATGTAAATACATAGTACCGCGGTTACATCTGTAATCACCCTAACAACTACTTCTGCACAAAACCCAATCGGTCAACTGTCTGTAGACAATACCCAATACCCCATGGTGTAATTTTGGACACAACTTTTGTGTCTTTCCCCAAACACAACACAACAGTTGATATGACCGAGACGAAGACAAGCACCCTTGTGTTTTCAAAACGACCGGGCAAGATAGTCTATCCTTGGCAATAATCTTGTCATAGTCTCTGCCGACACACCCTTAATGATTTGTGGGGGACATTGATGGGTGTGCGGGTCCTTGAAGCCAGTGATGGGCCCTCAAGGAGACCAGTATGATCTGAGAACGCTCTACTCCTTTGCAGATGGCCCGATGACAAGGTTAAGCCAGATACACGTGTGAGACACTGTGCACATCGTGTGGTATAAAACCCTATATCATCCACCGAGATGGTTCGAGTGGTTGTTATCTTCGGTGTGTAATCCTCGAGGTCGGCTTCTTAGCAATGTCTCGACGTATTTTTGGGTCAGGACGTTTTAATATCATGTCTGGACTGTTAGGATGTTGTTGTGGGATTTTATTAAAAAATTAATTAGTTAAAAAATATAGCGGACAATCCTGACCTCTTTCTATGTTTGGTGTTTAACGCAGCCCTCATCAATTTTCCAGCAATGTGACATATGTCTGTAAGTAATTTAGTCTTGACCGGACAATCCAGTGATTCAAATCGAGATGGCTTGCTATAATCCAAGTTACCAAGTGATCAATGCGGTCAATCCAATGATTAACTTCATTCGCATCCTTGGGCGCATCTGGGATACCATGACATGTGTCAACCAAGTCAGCGTGTCTGACCATCCGGTCCCGTTAGTTCCAACAAGCATAGATTGTGGGAGGAGGTGATATAGATCATAGAAGAGGACAAACCAAAGGTCATCATCGGTGTAAAGGGGGAATTCGAACCTACGGCCCGCGGATCCTGTATGAGAAAGGGGGGCAACTCTCCACACACAATCGAGGCTGTTTAGACCACATGTTCTTCTTTACACCATCTAGGTAAACAGGGACGGTGGTAAAGAAACGAAAGTAATTTCGATAGTTTTAAATAAGTGAAATATTCAAGGATTACAAATTTCGTTTGTCAGTTCGCTATAAGCTTGTCGTTCGACGGTTTTAACGAACTTGTTTCTTTTGGACCAATCCAATTGTTATATATTATAGTCGAAATGCGCACAACGAAGTCCGTGCAAACGTGCAAGTTTGTATCCCTTGACTTAACGAGCTGGGTTTTTTCTTGTCCCGTCCAATTCCTATATATTGAGTATAACGAACTACGGTTAAAACGATTAAAATTATGGATCCCTTTGAATTCGTCATAACCGTAGATGACTGTAGTTAGAGGTCTTGATATTGTTCGATTTAACCGCAAGTTCGTTATATCCATATTCGTTAAAATCATGTTTCGTCGTGTTCTACAATAGTCCATACTGAAACGACAAGTTTGGGGAAAATAACGATTCTTTCCGAAAGTCTGTCATATCACGTAACACGCTGAATGACCTGTGTATCAGGCAAAGAAGTCATACATTTCCGGGTAATGAGCCAGCCTGATTCATTATATGTGTTGACTCTGTGAAACACAATGTTACCTGGCGAGCCTGGGACTCAGACAGATGGGACTGGGATGAGTTACACAGTCGCGCGAGGGTGCTTTGAAGATTGCACAACGCTCCCCACGTCCCGACGGAGACAGGGCCGGGGTAGGCAGACTTTGTGGGAAGGTCACCCCCCTCGACAGGTGAAGATCCGTGTCAGTCAGCGGCGTTGTTACGGTTTGCTTAGATTTTGTATTGCATTCGACCATGTCTGTCCATGTCTGGCTGAGCTTTCTTTCGGGGGGTAATGAGGGAAAGCTTAGCGTTCCCCAGATGGACAGAAAGTGATAACGTTCAGTGTATGTTGTCTTTTATTATCTGAAGTCATGTTCTTCGGTTGTCAATGTTCAGTCGACAGCTAGCGTCGGTGTATACAATCAGCGCCATACAGACAACCGCTTTTTGTCTTTTGTCTCGACCTCGTTAACCTGGAAACCTCCGAGAGTAGTGAGTGAGTGAGTGAGTTTGGTTTTACGCCGCACGCAGCAATATTCCAGGAAGTGAGTGAGTGAGTTGGGGTTTACGCCGCTTTTAGCAATATTCCAGCAATATCACGGCGGGGGACGCCAGAAATGGGCTTCACACATTGTACCCATGTGGGGAATCGAACCTGGGCCTTCGGCGTGGCGAGCGAACGCTTTAACCACTAGGTTACCTTACCCCACCGTCCCTCACTTTGGAGTAACTACGGAAATTACCCTAAATCACTATTATATGGTTTAACGGAGTTTCATTGTTTGTACATGCCAACACATTTCATCTAGATGGTACCACATACATACAATGTGCATATGTATTTATGTTTTCGCGGTGGCGGTGAGGTCGCCCAGTGGTCAACATAGCATTCGCTCATCTGGCTGAAGGCTTGGATTCGTTTCCGCATGTTTGAAGTAGATTTCTGGTGTCTACAAGTGGGTAAACTGGAGTAATGCCCAAGGCGGCGTAAAACCACACTCACTCACTTTTTACCTCCCATGACCACGATCAGACTCCAATATTAAGCCTCCTTTCACTTATCCTTTAAACATATTGCAGTCAACGGATTGCCATGGTTGACACATGTCATTGTATCCCAATTGCGTAGATTGGTGCTCATGCTGTTGATCACTGGATTGTCTGGTCCAGACTCGATTATTTACAGATCGCCGCCATAGAGCAATATTGCTGAGTGCGGCGTAAAACAACAAACCAAACCAAACCAAAACGGAATACCAGGAATACTGCAATAGTCGACAAGAAAACACACAAACTGTTTTGCTACCTATTTTCATACTAGGATCTCGATGTAAGGAGTTTAACGACGGGTTTGAACAGTACTTCCCTGTCACCTTGATGTGTGAAGCCCGCAGTAATGCAGGGCCGAGATGTGTCCCCTTGCTGTGAAATTTACGCAAACGGTGACAGTGTTGACAGAGGAATAAAACTTAATAGGGCGATTATCGAATTTAAACCACTGACCCTGAAAAACTTCCACCCCCTCTTCTACCCCCTCCCACCATCCCACCACCCTAGCCCATCCCACCCATATAGACATAAGACTAACGCTTAGTCTCTGAATATATATACTGAGGAAAAATAATAAGGGATCACATGAAAGCACAAGTGTTCCTTTTTTTTTCCCGGTTTCTTCACAAGCTTTGTATCGCATAGCTTGTGAAGAAACCTAGAAACAATTAAAGGAACACTTGTGCTTTCATGTGATCCTTTATTTTGTTCCCTCAGTATATATATACTTTTGATAGAGACAAACGATTCCTTTTAAATTGAAAAGGAGCTCCAGTGAGATGGAAGATTCAGATCCATGCTTTATTAAGGGCTTTAGCACTGCAGAAAGGGATGGACAGAAGGGGAAACAATGTGGTTCAGGGACTGTGAGGCAGACTAATATGGACATCAATACTGTTTTTACCCTCCCGACTTCCACAATATATTAGATCTTATCTGCCCCCATATAGTATACTCAGACACTAGGGGACGAATTACATACCTTCAAATGACCACTGGGTCTGTGAAGTGCCTTCTGATGACACCCCTCCCTTCCCCCCTTACCCCACCCTCCGACATCTGTGTCAACAACGCCCCACTCAAACCGGGTAACCACTTCAAGTACCCCTGTAAAGAGCACCTGCCGCCCGAGCCATCGTGGTATCTGATAGATAGCTTCAACATGTATATCAATATGATACCCTACTAAAGGAAACGTGGCCCGTTATTGGCCTGGTCCTTCTCATTATATACGGAAATGATCGAGGTCATCTGAGAGATCGCCAACTGTATATGTCTCAATACGATGACCGCCGAGGTAAACATGTTATGTTGGTGTGTGTTCGGATCTCTTTGTGGTCATGAACATGTGGTTAATGACAGTTAATGGACTGGATTTCATGAAAGTGCCATTATCACGAGACCTTATTCAGTTTATACGAACCGGTGCCACCAAGTCTATTAACGGAGAATCGCTGTATATTCATTTGTTCTTTAAAACGACATTTCAATAAACCTATGAGTTAGGTCCTATCTCATTTTAGCAATACTCAAACAGTGGTCAAGATATATTTCAGAAATATCCAGTACATACTCCCTTTGACTTTATCAAAATTCTGACAATATTCCAGCAATATTTAAGTTATAAATAATCCAGCAATACTCAAGCAACATTCCACCTGTATTCTAGCAATTTTAATAAAAAATCGAGCAATATTCAAGCAATATTCCAACAATATTCGAACAATGTTCCAGCAATATTCAAGCAATATTTCCGCAATATTCCAAATTTATTCCAACAATATTTAAGCAAGATTTCAGCTATATTCCAACTTTATTCCAACAATATTTAAGCAATATTCCGTCCACATTCCATCAATATTCCAGAAATGTGCCAGCAATATAATTTCAAGGAACATAATAACGGACTTCACCATTGTTAGAAATCGAGCCCAGGTTTTCGTTATGGCTAACAGACACCCTGCCATGCGTTTCGTCGGCTTATTGAACGAGTGTTCCCTATCAAGGACATGATGATTGATCATGTATCGATGAACACCGATTGTCATTCATCCAGTGGCAATATACTGTTTGTTTCGTGTGTTTTTTGGTTTACGTTGCAGTCAGAAATATTCCAGGAATACGACGGCGTTCTGTCAATACCTGAGTCTGGTAAATAGTCTTTAACTCACTAACAAGCCCCTTATCCCCCTAACAACGCTAGTAAACCCCAAACAACGTCCTTCACCCCTTAACAACGCTAGTAAACCTCATTACAACTTCCTATGTAACATGGTTAATCTAGGTTTTCACCTCCCTCTCTCTCTCACTCTCTCTCTCCTCCCTATCTCTTTCTTTTTCTCTGCCCCTTTTTCTGTTCCCTCTCCGTCCCCTCTCTCTGTCTCTCTCCCTACCCTCTGTTTCTTTCTCTCTGCCTCCCCTCTCTCCCCTTCCCCTCTCTCTGTCTTTTCTGTCTCTCTCCCTCTCTCTTCCTTTCCCTTTCTTTCTTTCTCCCCTCCCCTCTATCCTCTATCTCTCCCCCTCTTTCTGTCTCTCTCACTCCCCTCTATCCCTTCCTTTCTCTCTCCTTTCCCTCTCCCTGTCTGTCTCTCTTTCTCTCCCTCTCCTCTCTCCCTCCCTCTCCCCTTCCATCACTCTGTCTGTCTCTCCCCTCTGTCTCTCCCTCCCCTTTATCCCTCCTCTCTCTCCTTCCCTCTCTGTCTGTCTCTCTCCTCTCTTTCTTTCTCTCTGCCTCACTTCTATCCCCCTCTCCCTGTCTCTCTCCGCCCTCTCTCTCCCCTGTCTACATCCCTCTCTCTCTCTCCCCCCTCTCTGTCTGTCTCTCTCTCTCTCCTTCCCATCACTCTGTCTCTCTCCCTCTCTTTTTCTTTCTCTCTGCCTCACTTCTATCCCCCCCTCTCTCTCTCCGCTCTCTCGCTCTCCCCTGTCTACATCCCTCTCTCTCCCTCCCTCTCTCTGTCTGTCTCTCTCTCCTTGCCTCTTCTCCATACACGGATAAAGTCAGTATGAAATGTTCTGTCAACATGCCTGTGTATGCAGCTGGATGAGCTCTGGCTGTGCCGTACAAGGACATTACCTCACTCACTCTACCTCTTAAAACACAGTCCCACATGAAATGTCAGGCACCAGATCGCCCCAGGAACATTCCAACTAATTTGCTAGCCATGCATGGTGTCTCCTTTGATTGCTGTTGCTGTGTAAACATAACGTTTAATCTATCGACTGTATCTCCTGCTATCTTGTCATCTCGACATCAGTCAACAGACGCTGAAATAGGTGTCGAAATGCATGGGCAGTTGATCTGTGATGCTTAAATCAGACAACACACGGTGATTAGTTCGATTCCTTCAGCTATGGGAATTTTATGATTTTTTGTTTGTTTGTAGTTTGTTAATCAATAATTGAGTGTTATATCTAATAATTTCCCATTGTGATATTGTGACAGTGACTGAACATGTATTGATTTTGTGAAATGGGGATATGGTACGGTCCAGTGCTCGGAGGCGTAACGAAGCGCGCTGTTGTGCACAGATAAATATGACGTCATCAACACCTGTGGTCGCGACAAATTGCACTGCCATAAACCGATACCCAATATGTCGTAAATAACACGGCGTTCAATGGGAGGATGATGGGAGAGAGGGCGACTGGTGCAGTCTGACAGCAGATCTCTTCTGTTGTCGGTTACCACATGAATATAGCGTGACATGCTGTCACAGTCTAGCCGACAACTCAACTCTCAAGCTACCCTTTAACACCGTGCAATCCCATACCTGTACGCACAATCCACCCCACCAATTCAATGATATACAATACCCGTTCTCCGTGTACCCAACCACTGTCCTCCCGCCCGCACTGGTGTCTCCAACTCCACTACGTAAACAGGAACTCCTACCCACAACCAACCCAACAACCCAACAGGAACTCCTACCCACAACCAACCCAACAACCCAACAGGAACCCCTGTCCACAACCAACCCAACAACCCAACAGGAACCCCTGTCCTCAACCAACCCAACAACCCAACAGGAACCCCTGTCCACAACCCCTCTAACAGGAACCCCTGTCCACAACCACCCCAACAACCCAACAGGAACCCCTTTCCACAACCAACCCAACAGGAACCCCTGTCCACAACCAACCGTACAACCCAACAGGAACCCCTGTCCACAACCCCTCTAACAGGAACCCCTGTCCACAACCACCCCAAAACCCAACAGGAACCAATGTCCACACCCATCCCACCAACACAACCGAACCCCTGTTCAACCCACCCAAACAACCCGGCGGAACCCCTTTCCACTCAACCCTACCAAACCAAAGAAACCCCTGCTCAGTCTTCCCCACCAAACCGACAGAACCCCTGTCCACCCCATCAATCGGAATGGGTGGTCAGGGGTTAACCCTATCCCCACCATTTCACCCACCCGACCCGATCCCTGTTCATCCCACCCCTAACTTCAAACCCAATCTAAACACTATCCATACCTACACAAAGAATCCACCTTCTGTCCTTCAAGTCAAACACTATCCACACTTACACAACGAACACATCTTCTGTCCTTCAAGTCAAACACTATCCACACTTACACAAAGAATCCACCTTCTGTCCTTCAAGTCAAACACTATCCACACTTACACAACGAACACATCTTCTGTCCTTCAAGTCAAACACTATCCACACTTACACAAAGAATCCACCTTCTGTCCTTCAAGTCAAACACTATCCACACTTACACAACGAACACATCTTCTGTCCTTCAAGTCAAACACTATCCACACCTACACAAAGAACACATCTTCTGTCCTTCAAGTCAAACACTATCCACACTTATACAACGAACACATCTTCTGTCCTACAAATCCATACACGCACAGTCCATGTATGCACGCTATAGATTTTCAGGCATAGGCCAAGGAGCCCACTTAACATTAGCAATATTTACATGTTCAAGTCGAGGGCAACTTTCCTGTTGCCAAAGGAATGCCTAGTCAAACACGACTACGATACCACTGATATGGAAGCAGCATCAACCGTCCGACAAGTTAGTTACTGTCAATGTGGACTGTAGTAACACGTCCACCAAGTATTAGGTCGAGATTGTTTCGAATTGCACATGAGTTGGTGGTTCAGGTATCGTATATTGGAGTGAGTGGTTAATGTATCATCTATTGGATTGGGTGGTTCAGGTATCGTATATTGGAGTGAGAGGTCAATGTATCATCTATTGGATTGGGTGGTTGATGTATCCTATATTGGAGTGAGAGGTCAATGTATCATCTATTGGATTGGGTGGTTCAGGTATCGTATATTGGAGTGAGAGGTCAATGTATCATCTATTGGATTGGGTGGTTGATGTATCATCTATTGGAGTGAGAGGTCAATGTATCATCTATTGGATTGGGTGGTTGATGTATCATCTATTGAGTGAGAGGTCAATGTATCATCTATTGGATTGGGTGGTTGATGTATCATCTATTGGATTGGGTGGTTGATGTATCATCTATTGGAGTGAGAGGTCAATGTATCATCTATTGGATTGGGTGGTTGATGTATCATCTATTGGAGTGAGAGGTCAATGTATCATCTATTGGATTGGGTGGTTGATGTATCATCTATTGGAGTGAGAGGTCAACGTATCATCTATTGGATTGGGTGGTTGATGTATCATCTATTGGATTGGGTGGTTGATGTATCATCTATTGGAGTGAGAGGTCAATGTATCATCTATTGGATTGGGTGGTTGATGTATCATCTATTGGAGTGAGAGGTCAATGTATCATCTATTGGATTGGGTGGTTGATGTATCATCTATTGGAGTGAGGGGTCAATGTATCATCTATTGGATTGGGTGGTTGATGTATCCTATATTGGAGTGAGAGGTCAATGTATCATCTATTGGATTGGGTGGTTGATGTATCATCTATTGGAGTGAGAGGTCAATGTATCATCTATTGGATTGGGTGGTTGATGTATCATCTATTGGAGTGAGGGGTCAATGTATCATCTATTGGATTGGGTGGTTGATGTATCATCTATTGGAGTGAGAGGTCAATGTATCATCTATTGGATTGGGTGGTTGATGTATCATCTATTGGATTGGGTGGTTGATGTATCCTGTATTGGAGTGAGAGGTTATTGTATCATCTATTGGATTGGGTGGTTGATGTATCCTATATTGGAGTGAGAGGTCAATGTATCATCTATTGGATTGGGTGGTTGATGTATCCTATATTGGAGTGAGAGGTTATTGTATCATCTATTGGGTTGGGTGGTTGATGTATCCTATATTGGAGTGAGAGGTCAATGTATCATCTATTGGATTGGGTGGTTGATGTATCCTATATTGGAGTGAGAGGTTATTGTATCATCTATTGGGTTGGGTGGTTGATGTATCCTATATTGGAGTGAGAGGTTATTGTATCATCTATTGGATTGGGTGGTTGATGTATCCTTTATTGGAGTGAGAGGTTATTGTATCATCTATTGGGTTGGGTGGTTGATGTATCCTATATTGGAGTGAGAGGTCAATGTATCATCTATTGGATTGGGTGGTTGATGTATCCTATATTGGAGTGAGAGGTTAATGTATCATCTATTGGATTGGGTGGTAAATGTATCCTATATTGGAGTGAGAGGTCAATGTATCATCTATTGGATTGGGTGGTTGATGTATCCTATATTGGAGTGAGAGGTCAATGTATCATCTATTGGATTGGGTGGTTGATGTATCATATTTTGGAGTGGGTGGTTTATGTATCCGTGTGGTGGTGGTGGCAGTAGCAGTAACAGTTGCAGTTGCAGTTGCAGGAGTTAGTTAGTTTAGTTTTAGCAATATTCCAGCTACATCACGGCGGGGGACAACAGAAATGGGCTTCACATATTGTTCCCATGTGGGGAATCGAACCTGGGTCTTCGGCGTGACGAACGAACGCTTTAACCACTAGGCTACCCCACCGCCCCAAGTAGAAGCAGCAGCAGCAGCAGCAGCACGACTACTACTTCTACTACTACAACTAGTTAGTAGCAGTACCTCCGGTGGTGGTTGTGGTGGTGGTAGTAGAAACAATGGTTAAGACAAAGCGACCCCCTTCTCATTCATGCCCTGATCTTGGCCACGGGGCTTTCACCGGTTACCCCTTTCTTCCCTCACAATGAGATCACGGCGACTTAGCCCTCAACACCCATATATCACAACGTTTGATGTGTTAGCGGATATACCCGGCATCTTCCCAGGGTTGTAGGCCAGCGTTCGTGCAACGAGGTGATCCCCAGAGTTTTAACCACTCGACCAGAGCGCCCCAAACCGTCAAGTGTCTTGCCTTACAAACATTACATCGGTCTGTGTACAGGTGCTTGATGGTGGACACGTGTGACACCCTCGTGGGTGACTTGGTGTGAACTGGAGAAGGTGTAGCCTATATCCCAACTGCATTGTTCTCAGCACGAGAAAGTTCAAGAAACAAGTGATAATTAAACACTGAACGTATGCTATCGGTTTTGACATGACGCGTAGTCCACGTCGCGCACTTAGTGCGTGAGGCCCGTCTCATTTTCAACGCTGTTTATCGCCAATTATCATCTATAATCTCCCTCTTTGCTTCATTTACCTGTCGTTTTCCTCATTTTATCACCAACATGGTGAGCAACACCTCCAGGTAAGGTAACAACGTTCGACGTCACCATCGTCCGCATCCTCAGCATCGACGAACGCTGAATGATACCTTATCATCAGGTGATCTGACATTTCCAATATTGCTCTAACAAAGTGCTGTTACCGCACAAAGCAGCCTACCACTGCACCAGATACTTGTACGGGGTATGTTAGACGAACCTTAAGTGATATGTACTCGGAACTTAAGGGGTGTTCAGGTACATTTTGGGTATTGACTGGTTTTTACTTCGTGAGATCCGGTGCAACGGGACACTGATAAGTTTCCATTTTCACAGATAAGATAATTCCTTTTAAGCGGTTTTCAATCCCGCAGTATCAGTTGGTATCCATTTAAGACATGTTTGCAGAAAGGATCGACCTGACATTCGTAAACTACCTCCTTGTCATTCGCAACATTATTACATAATGGCAGTGTAAAGTCGGCGACAGCGTACCACAACCTCCACTACCGTCTTGGGGCAACGGCTATAGCCTGTTACTGTCGACTGTTTCTTCTACTGCTGTTGTTGCTGCTGCTACTACTACTACTGCTTCTACTACTTCTACTACTACTACTGTTGCTTTCTACTGCCACTACTACTACTGCTTCTACTACTACAACTACCACTTCTACTACTACTACTACTACTACAACTACTACTACTACTACAACTACTACTACAACAACTACTACTACTGCTGCTGCTGCTTCTACTCCTGCTGCTTTCACTACTACTACTCCTACTTCTACTACTACAACTACCACTACTACTACTACTACTCCTACTTCTTCTACTGCAACGGGCGATGGGATACAGTGGTTGAAGCGTTAGCCCATCGCGCCAAAGTCCCGGGTTCGATTCCCCACATGGGTACAATGTGTAAAACTCATTTCTGGTGTCCCCCGCCGTGATACTACTGGAAGATTGCTTCTCCCACATCCACCCCCACAACCTCACCCTCTTCCTCACCCTCAGCGTCACCCTCACCCTCACCCACACCCTCACCCTCAACCTCAGCCTCACCCTCAGCCTCACCCTCAGCCTCAGCCTCACCCTCACCCTCACCCTCAGCCAAACCTTCACCCTCTCTCGCCCCTCAATACCAACCGCCATAAACATTCACTACTAGTCACTGAAAGACAATATGTCAAGCTTTCACCCACAAATCATTTTCTCCTCAAAAGACCATGTTTCTCCGTGTTCCCCTCGGTAACAGTTCCCACATTTATTAGGTAAAACGAAATTCCACACGGGACCTTTAACAATACAGTTTTATCTGAATTCCATCGGACATTCCTAACCGGGTAGAAACACCATCTGTGACTCGCCCTGACCGATGTACAATGACATAGCGGTACTCCTATCACAGAACCCACCCGGAACAATACCCAGCCAGGGTGATGCTCACAAGCGTGACACCCCTGTCACCTACCCGGCAAATCCCGACCCAACTTTCTCAATCTAAGTCCTCGATAAATCAGGAAAGTTAATCAAGTCATCGATTGTGGTGTTAGCTTAACAAAATCTTCAATATAGCCACTATTTGGGGTTTCTGTTCAATGCTCGTCTTTTGACAATTTTCTCTATACAGTAGTTTAAGGCCCGATGATGGAACCGTGAAGGTATAACGGGTATGCATTGTCCAAGTCGTGTCAGAAGATCGGGGTATTGTGACACCCGGATTTTGCTCATAGTGTCCTATTATCTGGCGGTATTGAAAGCCCAAAAATTATGCACTGAATGTTC